CAGTGAACCAATAGCAGACCTGCAGAGATATGTCACCAAGTATCTGGAGAAAGTGGCAGAATCAGGAGCCATAATGACCCTTTCACAGTACTAGCTTGCTTGATACGTTCGCATCAAACTTTAAAGCCAGGCATCTTTCCCGGCATTTGAAAGACATGTTTGCACTCACTGGAGAAAACCCTGATGCTGGGAAAGATTGAAGGTCAAAGAAGACGGGGACGGCAAAGGATGAGATGGTTAGACAGTGTCATAGTAATGCTTTCTAAGGCCCATTTAACTTCACATTCCAGGATGTTAAATAAAGGGGGGGGGGAGTGCATGACGTCCTAATCTGCATGTTGTACTGTGTTGAGATGGAATGCAGGATGTGCTGCAGATCAATCTTGTTTCAGGGTACTGGGTGCAGATCAGATTTTAGGTTGCCCCAAAAGCTACTGGGAGGGAGAAGGAAATGACGGCCACAACCCCTTTGATAATCTGTTTTTGATCTGAATATACAGATTTCTCCACAATTCTGAACCTGATCCATGAGAACACCATGGTGTAGCACTTAGAGGGTCAGACTAGGATCTGAGAGAGCCAGGTTCAAATCCCCACTCTGCCATTCAACCTCGCTGGGTGACCTTGGGCCAGTCACACATTCAGTTTCCCCTACCTCACAAGGTGAGGATAAAATGGAGGGGGGGAGAATGATGTAAGCTCCTTTGAGTCCACATTGAGGAGAAAGATGGGGTAAGTAAACAGATCAGTGCATGTCCTTCTCTGTTAGACTTTGGGTATAGTTATATCCCACTCCGACATTTCAGAGATAAACATGGGGTCACCTGTTCTCAAACCATTATCTGGAACTTCACACCACCTCTAGAGTTGCCAGGTGACTTGGAGGTGGCGGGAAACAGCTGGTCCTGTTCCAATGCTTTGTGCAATGGCGTGCTCTGCAGAATTCACTAGGTGAGATATTTTCCCCCAGGTCATGAAGATAAAATTTATCCTCCCGCTAACCTCTACAAATAAAGCTGCTACCTTGATGGGCTCAAAAAATGCTCCCTCCTCCCCTGCTACGAAGGTGGTTCTGTCTTTGCCTGCTGGCTTCCTTATTCTGCAGCAAATATCTGTCCTATAATGTTATCAACACTTCCAAAAGAACCTGAGTACACCTACTTGAAATCTACGTATTTCTTCTAAAATCCTGGGAGCTGAAACATAAGTTGCCCAAATCAAATTGGTAAAAAGCATCCATGAACTTTCTTGGGAGGTGCAGTTAAAGCAATCATAGAGTCAGTTATTTAGTGGGGGACCCCCCCCCCCCCATTCAAGATATCCCTCCTAAGCAGAGACAGTTGGAGCATATTTCCCATTTCTGTGATTTCCTGTTTTGATACCAAAGAAACGGAATGCTCTCAGGACAGTGATGCAAAAGAGCAGCTTTTCAAACTAGCTAATTGCTCTTGCTTTGGATTTAGAGCTAGATGATTAAAAAAAACCTCATTGTCTCTCCCTCTGGTCTGATTGTGTTGCCTTGATATCTTTTCAGCCTCTCCCTTTTGTCATTCAAGTACTTCCTACAGGTTGGATGGGCAGATTCCTAATGACTCTCCTTGTGTTTCCTAGGGGCTGGGGGGGGATCTAGTCTCTTCAGTGTCTCCATAGTAATTGTCATCATTCATGAGGGTATTTAGCACAGGTGGTAGACAGATTCAAACTGAACTTTGTTTCCCGCAGAGCAGTTAATGATAAATGGAGAACTTGTGAAAGTTGGTCCTGCCTCCAAGTCAAAGCCTCCTGATCGAAAGACTTCCAGGAGATTAGCTCTCACTATGGGGCTTGGCAAAGGAGGGCGTGAATTAGTTGAATGAGCAGCCAGAATCCCCCTCCCCCAGCTACAAATTAAACAGGCCAGATCTCATTTGATTGGATCCCCAAGTATGTAATTTGCTCCTGTTATCCAAGTGGAGGCGGGGAGCAGCCTAGAAAGCTGGTGCTGAGGAATTAGGGTTGCCAACAGCCCTGGAGAAAAATGCCCTGTCCCTTTTTCGCCATGAAGTCACTGCTGACTTGTGGCAACCCTGTAGGATTCCCAAGGCAAGGGGTATTCCTTGGAGGTCTCCCTTTTGAGTACCTGGCAGGGTTGGCCCTGCTTAGCTTCAGAGATCAAGCTAGACTGGGCTATCCAGGTCAGGGTGCCCTTCAAGACGGGCTTATTTGGGGTGTCCTCATTCGGATGGCCCAGGCTAGCCCAATGTCGTCAGATCTCACAAGCTAAGCAGGGTCAGCCCTGGTTAGTACTTGGATGGGAGACTGCCAGGGAATAACAGTGTTGGTACACAGAGGCAGGAATGGCAAACCACCTGTTAGCCTCTTGCCTTGAAAACCCTATGGGGCTGTCATAAGTCAGCTGCAACTTCTCTCTTTCTCTCTCACACACACAGAGAATGTTCTTATCAGGTGTTGTATCCATGTGTTGGGTATTACAAGTTGAAAACACTCAGTATATCTGGGGTTAAATGTTTGTTTATGTTACTCACAGGAAGTCACATGTTTCTCATGTAACCAATGTTCTTTAGCTGTAGGATGCCCAGGAATTTTCTCCCTGATCTAGGGATTTGATTGGGACTAAAGTGTCAAGGTGTATTACCATTTTATGGCTTCTCTTCCCGTCTTTCTTTGGTGTTCTGAAGAACAAGAAGAGTAGCCATAATCTCCTCTCTTCTAGTTTTGTCTTTGTAGAGTAAGGATGTAGCCGATTTTGCTCTGTTGTTATTTTCATCCCAGTTACCCTTCCCATGCTAGAATTTAGTAAAAACTTTATATTTTAATCACACATGGACTCTCAGTCTGAATTATTTTACTCTGGCTCTGCTGGACTATCTTATCTCTGCTAAATACCATTTTTTCAATATCTCACTATCACCCAACACCATGCCATGAAAAACTTCAGCTGCTATTTCCACACATGAAACCTCTGAACAGACAGACATTTTCTCTTCAGGTTGTTGGCAACACTATGAGGAAGATGGAGGTTTACCCCTCCCCAGGCTTTTTGCTAAACAAAAAATGGCTCCACTTTGGCTGCTTGGAACCCCAGTAAGGGGAGGGGGAGAGAGATGGGAATCCATTTTGAGAGCTAGTGAAATATAGTGTTTACAGTGTTGTGTTAGGACCTATGAGATGCAGGTTTAAATCCCCACTCTATCATGGAAGCTTGTTGGGTGACTGAGCCTGTCAATCTCACCTCCCTCACAGGATTGTTGTGATGACAAAATGGAGACATTGATGTATGTATTTGTAAGAAGTTTGAAATTAATAATTAGTTTATTAATGCACTAAACAAATGAATACTTCATTAGAATTTATTTGATTGTCAGCATTGCTGCTTCTTATTATAGAAGTAATGGCTATGACTCACACTGAACACTTGACATACAGTCTATAAATGCTAGTTATTTTTATTCCTGCCATCATTTATTTTTAGAATAATATTCTATCCTGAATTCAGTTTCCAAGGCCCATTCCAGAATAAATAAAACATCACATTCAGAAACTGTCCCTCTTAAATTAAAAATTCTCTGGGAACATTTCCATGCTTACATATAATGGATTTCATATTACTGGAGGGGGACAGAGGAACCAGAGTTTCTAAGCTAGCAGACAAATGTAAGCAGTGTCTGCTTTGCTTTTCAAAAAGATGCATTGCTTTTATCAAAACTACCCAGTCCACAAGAAGTGACTTGGAAATAAGGATCTGATATTTAGGGCTGCCTGTCCCCCACCCCTGCAAATTTCCTGAAGCTTGTTGCAGCCTGCATTCACATAAAAGCTTTTGCCAGTTGATTTTCTGCCTATCATATTAAAGGTTCAAGAGCCTTTTAACAGGAGGTGGTACCCATGACTAATTTCATTATAATAAAGTCTGAGTCCAGTGGCACCTTTTAAGACCAACAAAGTTTTGTTCTGGGTATAAGCCTTTCATGTGCATGCACACTTCTTCAGATACCTTTAGCTTATATGAATGTGTCTGGTTGACATCATATATATGTTGGAATAAGGCTCCTTCGCAAAAACGAATAAAGTTAAGGGATTTTTAAAATTCATACATAACAGAAAATTTTAACAGTGTGTAGTCATAGAAACTTGAGGTCATGCAGTTCTTGATTCTTAAGAAACAAGAGAAAGGGTGGTAGAATGATTGCTTGGAAGAACAGCTTGACCGCACTGAAGCCTTGAAGGGGAAATGATTATGCTTACAAATGGATGTCAGGCCTAAAATCCTTTCCTATTTGCCAAGATTTTCTAGACATGCATGTTAGTTGGAGAGGAGATGAGGGCTCTGCTGTAAGAGGGTTCTGCCACAACAAGATCTGCTATTCCTGTTTTAGAAAGCCAGGGATTATGATCTGTTTAATGAAGGGGGCTGTGCTGGCCTACAAACTGAAGTTGCCAGCTCTGGGTTGGGAAATGCCTGAAGATTTGGGGGTGGAGCCTGGGTTGGGGGAGGCAAGGGACCTCAGCAGGGTATGATACCATAGAATGCACCCTCCAAAGCAGCCATTTTCTCCAGGGGAACTGATCTCAGTAATCTGGAGATCAAGTGCAATAGCGGGAGATGATCACCAGTTGCCGGCTGTAGGTTGGCAATCCTAGATGGGGAGGTAGGGATTTTCAGTTTTGGGGGGAGGAGACTGGCATTCCTGACACTATGACATCACTTCCAGTGTGTCCCAGAAGTGATGTCTTTGCACCAGGGGGATGACACACTATAATGTTCACCCAGAACTCAGTGATAGAACCATAGAGTTAGCCAAATGCTAGAGTGTCGCCTGGGCACTTTCTTTTGCCACCCATCTGAGCAGTGATTGGTAACGGGAGCCGGGGATGGGAGATCTGGGAAGCCCTAGTAGGAAGGGATGCTGGTGTGGGTGGGGAGCAAAGGGCCTCGTGTTTAGCCCTTGTACCAAACTAGTAGTACCTCATGTAGGGAGGAGCCCCATTTCAGTGAATTTTCAGGGATCTGACCCTTGGACAGAGCTCCGATGCTTGTTTCTCACACTTTCCTCCTCTGGGCAGACAGACAAAGGGTACGCCTTTTCTCCTTTACCACGGCGGCATGGACTAAAGAAAGGCCGCAAAGGGGTATAAAAGGTCCCAATGTATGTGTAAATGTGGGTTTTCTCTGTCACATTATAAAATGAAACCTCGCCTTCTGCATAGTCCAGGAAGATCCCCACTCGAGTTGGCTTTGTGCCCAAAGGGAGAAGAGTTGGGCGGGAAATCAGGGCCTTGTATCGATCTCCGTTCCTGAGCCACAGTCTCCAGAACCCACTTTGGGGGGAAAAGATGGTTCCCTGCCCCTTCCTGCTCACAGATTCCCTACAGACACCCAGGTCCCACTCAGGGCTGTCCCCCACTTCCACCTCCCAGTAGTGCCTCCCTGAGGTGAATCTCTCAGCGCCCAGAACCAGGACATAAGTATCGAATCTCTCAGGATTGTCATCAAGCGGCAGCCCCAGCTGCGTCACTCCGTGTTTTACAGTCTTCTGATCCTCAGAGAGGGCAAGGCTGGGATGAGCTGTGGCTGGATCCAGAGATACATTCACTAAAGAAGGGGGAGAAAAGGAGACAGTTCTCTAAGGACAGGACTCTTAACAAAAATCCCTGAGAACTAGACAGAAGGAGAGGCCTGCTGGATCAGGCAAAACAGCCTTTCTAGCCCAGCATGCAGTTTCATGCAGGGGCCAAACCGATGCCCTCAGAAGCAGGGCATGGAGGCCAAAGCTAGGGCTGCCGGCTCTAGGTTGTGAAATACCTGGAGATTTTGGAGGGGGAGCCTGGGGAGGGTGGGGTGCGGGGAGTGGAGGGACATCAGCAGGCTATAATGCCTTCCTCCAAAGCAGCCATTTTCTCCAGGGGACCTGATCTCTATCTGGAGATCAATTGTAATAGCAGGTGCCTAAGGTGCCAAAAGGGCTGCGTTCGCTCAAGTGGTTAAGATGCTGAACTGCAGACCGGAAGCTCAGTAGTTCAGCACAGTTCGAGACCTGAGTGCCGCATAGGGTTGCCAAGTTGATCTTCGCCGGGAGCGGGGGGCTCCCGGCCGGCGTCTGGTGCGCGCGCATGCCGCACGCACGTCACCCGGAAGTGACGGGAGGATGCCGGGCACGCTGGGGGCGGGGCTACGGCCATACAAGGGAAAACCATAGAGTTTTCCCTTGTATGGCCGTGGTCTCGCCCCCAGTGCGCCCAGTGTCCTCCCATCACTTCCGGGTGACGCGCACATCGGGGAGGAGTTTCCCCCAGGGCCTGATCCAGTGGCGCTGGGTAACGGGCCTCTGGGGCGGGGGTTTCCCCGCCACCCGGGGGGACTTGGGTTCCTCATACGGGAAACCTTTACCTTACCTAAGGTGCCAAAACCCTAGCCCCCCACTCCCTCTGCCTCCTACTTACTAAAATTCTGAGGCATACTGCTTCAAACCATACCTCCAGTTCCTCTCTCCTCATCCAATTATGCAGGCTTTTAAAAATATCCCAGGGAAAGTGTTTTTGTATTTTCCCTTGGGATATATAGTTGGGGAACCTGAGTTCTGTCCAAACATTTCTACCAGCCAGGCAAATTTCAAAGCTGTCTTTCAAGTTATCCAGAGGGGTAAATGTGAATAATATTATCTTGTGAGAGGAATTAGGCACATTTAGGTCTTGATCCGGGGCCCAGATATGCATCTCCCAGCATGTCTGCTGCTCCTAACCCTGCTACCTGCTTTAGCAACTCTTTCCTGCATGAGCCAAGAAACAGCTTAAGGGGCTTTTTAAGCCTTCTTCTTCCTAGGCAAAGGAGGAGGGTGTGGGATGTTTTGTTGGGAAACTGGAAGGTGCTCTGCCTCTGATCTTGCTAGGTGATGCAAGAAGACCAGCACAGACAGCTTGCTCTTGGTGGGTTCTCTGCAGGCTGGATGAGTCGGTCAGAAATTCCAAAATCCACTGAGCACTTACCTTTGAACTCTGTTAGGATTTCAATAATGTCGATGCAAGGAATGTTATACACATGCTTCAGTTCAGTGGGAACAGCTTCTGTTTCCTGCACTGTCACATTTTCAGTCCTAGAAGAGTGACCCACAATACGTAATGATAACTGCAGTATAATTGCTTACCTAGTAGTGTGTGTATGCGGGGAGGGGGAGAGAGGATGTGTCTAAACTAAGGTTGCAAACTCTGGCTTGGGAAATTCCCGGAGATTTGGGGGTGGAGGCTGGGGAGCAGTGTTCCCTCTAAGCTGAGCTGGTGTGAGCTAGCTCACAGTTTTTTAGCCCCTGGGTCACACATTTTTGTCTTAGCTCAAGAAGGATGGCTCCAGAGCAAACTAATTTATGCAGTAGCCAAATAGCTCACTCACAACTTTAATGCTAGCGGCTCACAGAGTAGAATTTTTGCTCATAAGACTCCACAGCTTAGAGGGAGCACTGCTGGGGAGGGTTAGGGTTTGGGAAGAGAGGGTCCTTAGTGGGGTATGATGTCACACTCTCCAAAGCAGCCATTTTCTCCAGGGGGAACTGATCTCTGTCCTCTGGAGATCAGCTGGAAACCAGGAGATCTCCAGGCCCCTCCTGGATGTTGCCAACTTTAGTCCAAACTCTAAACTAATGCCAAATGCCATCAGTACATTAAATGATTGAACACCTGTGGGAAGCATAGTGCTACACACATAAATCTGATTGTTCTAGTTGTGTTCTTCTGCAAAATTTCCTGTTACGGGGTGGGAAGGTAGGTAGAATGCATGAGATATTGGGGTGGTATATAAGGGCAAATGGGGAAGGAAGGGAGGATTTTTAAAAAAAATCCGGGTTGTCGGTGACATTACTCCCAGGATTGTCTAGTAATCTAGTAGATTACTCCCATTCTGCAGATGCTTTATTGGCTGTCTGCCTGTTACCAGTTTCAGTTTAAGGTACTGGCTATCACATTCAAAGCCCTTCATGGCCTTGGCCCCTCTTATGTGCAGGACTGCCTCTCCCCCTCTGGTCCACCACAACAACTTTGCTTGAGTCAGCAGGGGCTCCTGCGGTTGCCAACCTGCAAATGGGCAAAACCAGCAACTGCCCGTATGCACGCTTTCTCTGTTGTGGCCCCCGCCTTGTGGAATGGCCTGCCCGAGGAGGCCAGGAAGGCTCCCGTTTTCCCCTGCCCTTCTGCAAACTGTGCAAAAGTGAACTATTCAAGAGGGTAGGTAATAGGGCTGCACTGCACAAAGTGGTTTTACAAACTTGCTTGGATAAGTGATGAAGGACTGTGGTCTACTGTGGTCTATACTTAGGGTTGCTATCCCCCTGATGGTGGGCAGTGTTACCCCCGCTTTTGGGTGGCCCAATCTGCCACTGGCCAGCAGGGGGAGCCCTGCCCCAAAGAGTCCCGTTGTGCCTGATGCGCACGTTGTGTGGGAAACGCTCTAGTGTTTGGCTATGGCTATGACCATAGAGTTTTTGGACAAATTCTAGAGCATCCCCTGCATGTCATGCCAGATGTGATGATGTCACTTCTGGATGACATCATCGAAGCATGCACCGGAAGCTCCCAGGACCCAGGTTGGAGACTTGCTGGCAGCTGGGTAAGACCTGGCAACACTATCTATACTGCTGTGCAGTGTTCCCTCTAAGCTGAGTTAGTGTGAGCTAGCTCACAGTTTTTTAGCCTCCAGCTCACACATTTTTGTCTTAGCTCAGGAAGGATGGCTCCAGAGCAAACTAATTTATGCAGTAGCCAAATCGCTTGCTCACAACTTTAATGCCAGTAGCTCACAAAGTAGGATTTTTGCTCACAAGACTCCACAGCTTAGAGGGAACATAGCCTGTGTACAGCTTACTGTAAGTAGGATCCTATTGATGTAATTTCTGTACTGCTTAATGTGTCATGTGAATACTTATGCTATGCTTCAGTTCCTTCTGGTGGCTCCAGACTCCTGATATTTCAATGCATTGGTTACTGAATGTCCCATTTTATGTGATTGCACTGGCTCACTATGTGGTATCTGCCTTGAGTCCCTGTGGGAAAGGCGAACTATAAATGATGTAAATAGTAAATAAATAAAAATAAATAGCAGCCTGAGTACAGCAGCTCTCCATAGACAATCTCTCCCTAGCACTTGCTACTTGAAACCCTTTAACTGGAGATGCCAGGGACTGAACCTAGGCCCTTCTGAATGCAAAGCAGATGTGCAGCCACTGAACCTCCCCAGCATTCTGTTTTCTGTGATAGGCGTCTCGGGTGGCTGACACAATACCACCTAGGGAAATTGCTGGAGATTTGAGGAAAGAGCTTGGGGGTGTTCGGGGACAGGGAAGAGCTCAGTGGGGATGTGATGCCACAGAGTAACTGAAGCTGCCATTTCCTTCAGGGAAAATGATCGCTGTAGTTTGAAAATCAGTTTTAAATCTAGAAGAACTCCAGGCTCCAACTTCACATTGGTAACCCTAGCAGCTGCTGGGAAACCTACAAGAAGGGTAGAAAGGTAACAGCCCTCTCCTTTGCTGTTTTGCCCAAGCTTCTGGTAATTGGAGGTATTCTGCCTCTGAACATGGAGGTTCCATTCAGCCATCAGCGCTAAATAGCCATGGTTGTACCTCTTTTCCCTGAATTTGTCTAATCCCCCATTTAAGGTCATTTATACCTATGTCGATCATCACCCTTTTAGGGTTGTCAAGTGGGCTGAAGAAATAATGTCCTGCCCCTTTAACAGAAACTGAATGGGAGTTATTAGCAGGTGATGATCTTTAGCTCCATGAGCTGAAAATTTTCAGCTACCCATTTCTGCACATGAAGCCTCTGTTAGAGGAGGTGGAGGAGAAAGAGAAGAAGAAGAGGAGGAGGTTGGATTTCTCAGAGCGTCTAGCAATCCCATTCCCTTTCTCTCCCCACAATAAACACCCTGTGAGGTAGGTGGGGCTGAGAGAGCTCTGAGAGAACTGCCTGTGAGGGAACAGCTCTGAGAACTTCTAACTGATCCAAGGTCACACCAGCAGCTGCACATGGAGGAGTGGGGAATCAAAGCCCCCCCAGATTAGAGTCCATGCTTCTGACCACTACACCAAACTGGCTCTCTTAAAGGGGCAGGACATTTTTCTCCAAGCTTTTTGACAACCCTCAGCCTTTGGGATAGGGCGGGATATAAATGTAAATATAAATAAAAAATAAATAAATAAGATACTTCATGACAATGGAGTCTGTAAATGAACTATGTGTTGCCTGAAGAAATATTCTACCTTAAACTTAATGCCACTCAGTTATAAGGGTGCAGATTTCCAAATCATCCTCTCACATCAACTGGATGCTATTACATTTGCAAGCTCTGTAAGATGGAAGGAACTGAAAAAATTACCTGCTCAATGTGTTTTCCACATCCTAAGAAGGAGACAGAAAGAGACATGAATAGTTTTAAAGGGTTTTACATTTGTTCCCCTCTTGCTTATCTGTTATCAGCTATACAATGGATGAAAAGTTAACATATTTCCAGTTTTAAAATCGTTTAACTATTTTTGCTAAAATTTTCACCCAGTTGAGTGTTGTTAAGGGCTGCTTCCACACTGGAGACCATTCTCACTGTAGCTCTTATTGCCACTGCAAATGCAGAGGCTTTGCAGCAGCAACATCACGTCTACACTGCAGTTGCCCCCACACTTTCCTTGACTCAGCCTCTGTGGCTGCCATTTTCCCCTGCAACCAATTTTAAAATTGAAAACTGACAAGTTGCTACAGTGGTGTAATGTTATGATCTCTTTCCATGATCTACTAGCTCCTCTGAATTGCCACCTTTCATTCAAAATAAAGTCTCTAACCCTTCTCATACAAGGGATGCACATTTCCCTTTATACCTCTGCAACAAAAAGGGCTACACATTCTGTTTTTAAAATGAAAGTTGGAGATACCCAGGAGCTCGTAATGTTGTTTACATGCAGCACTGAAATCCTTTTTTTTTTTTTGCACTGGGGATGCTGCCATTTGCCTCCTCTCTAATCCCCCTTTCAAGTCAATACCAGCAGTGAACTAAGCCACGAGTAGCTCCTTTTAAACATTCCCCCCATCGTTTTCATTTTTTTTTTAATTCAGCAATCTGAGACTTGTGGTATCACTCATGCTACTTGTTAAAAAAAACCCAAAACACCGAGGAGAAAAATAATCAATGGTGCTTGTACACCAATGAAGGGGGGAGGATGGTGGAAGGTGCAGGGTGGGTGGAACAACCTCTATGTGGGCAGGGGACTGAACTTCGAGAGGCGGCGAAAGGTTCCATGAATGGCTAACCCAACTGTATCTTGTGTTCATTCACAATTCAGTCCTATGGATTTCCATGGGACTGACTCCCAGACAAGAGCTGCAGCCTTGAGGTCTCTCTCTCACCTTGAGAAGCTCGCCTGCAGATTGTCGGCTCTTCTCCTTCACTTCTGTGACCAGCTGCTTAAGGGCAGAGCTCTGTTTGGAGAGCTGCTCCAGATTGCAGTGAAGCTTCTTCAGGGTCTCTCGCTCCTCCTTCTTCAGCCTCTTCAGGAGTCGTTCCTCTTCCTCAGACAGGAAGGTATGAAGCTTGTAAAACTCGCTCTCAATTCGCTCTTTCTGTCTGTGAACTTCATCCTTCATCAGGGAAGGGGCAAAGAAATTCAACAAGACAGCCACAGGGGGATTAGGTGTATTCCCAGAGGAGGAGGAGATCTATATCAGTGGTTTATTTACTTACTTCATTTGTACACGGCCTCTCTCCCCACTGGGGACCCAAAATGGCTTACATCATTCTCCTCTCCGCCATTTTATCATCACACCCACCCTGTGAGGTAGGCTAGGTTGTGAATTTGAACGTGGGCCTTCCAGATCCTAGAATAACACTCTTAACATCTATTCAAACAGAGCCAGTTTGGTGTAGTGGTTAAGTGCGCGGACTCTAATCTGGGAGAACCAGGTTTGATTCCCCACTCCTCCATTTCCACATGCTGGATGACCTTGGGCAAGCCATAGTTCTGGCACAGCTGTTCTTGAAAAAGCAGTTTCTGTTAAGAGCTCTCTCAGCCCCACCTACCTCACAGGGTGTCTGTTGTGGGGAGGGGAGGGGAAGGGAAAGGAGTTTGTAAGCCGCTCTGAGACTCCCTTGGGTAGTGAAGGGCAGGGTATAAATCCAATCTCCTCTTCTATTTATTCATGTGTGCTAAATGGAACCTCCATGTTCAGTGTGATGGGGGGCACAAACAATTGGTAAGAGGGCATTTACCATCATGCCCTACTTGTGGATTTTCCTGACTCATCTGATTCACTGCTGTTGAAAGCAGGATGCCAGACTAGAAGGACCCCTTGACTTGATAACGGCAGTGCTTTTCTTATTTTTATGCCGCCTTTCGAGGGAACCTGCCCGAGACAGTTTACAAAATAAAACATGATACAAACAAAACACTAAAATTTAGTAGTTAGAACCCAGCATTAAAAACCCAGTCACAGTCTACAAACATCGACCCTAAAACTAGAACACCAAGCAGGTTTGCAGTTTTCAGACCTAAAACACACTAAATGAGTGTTAAAAGACCAACCCCTTAATTAAATGCCTGGGGGAATAGAAACATTTTGGCCTGGTCCCTAAGGGAGGACAATAGAAGCACCAGGTGAACCTCAAAGGGAAAAAGCATTCCACAAGCAAGGTGCCACTACTAAAAAAGCCCTGTCTCTGGTTGCTACCCGCCTCACATCTGAAGGCAGGGGGCACAGAGAACAGGGCTTGTGAGGCAGATCTTAGCTGGTTGGTTGGAGAACTTGGGAGAAGGCAGTCCTTCAAGTACCCTGGCCCCATACTATTTAGGAATTTAAAGCAGGGGGTGTCAAACCTATGGCCCACGGGCCAGAACCGGCCTGTCCAGCTCTTTAATCTGGCCTGGGAGTGGGGCTCTCTTCTCTCCCCCCTCCCCTGCCCATCCTTGCTGTTCTGAGCTTGAGCTGCCTTGGAGTATAAAGAGCAGAGGGCAGGGCTGCCTCTGAGAGCTGGAAGCAGAGGGTAGGGCTGCCAAACTTCCCAGCCACCACTCCTGGCCTCCGTAGTCCTCACAGGTAAGAACTTTGGGGGGGGGGGTCCTTCTGCTGTGATCCTTGTGCTTCTTTTTTATTTTAAGAATTGCTTTGCAAAATCCCACTATTCCCCCACCTTTCCGATTTAGGCAGGCCCATTTTAAAGGTGGGGGGGAGGTTTGGGACCCGCCAGGTTTACAATATAGAGTTCTGCAAACTCAAGGGACTCCAGTTTTGCAGAGAAATATTAGTTTTAACGCACACCCCTTCCTAATGTGGAGCTCCAGTGGAATAATAGCAGATCAAGTGCTGAAGAGGACAGCTGAAATTATTATCTCAAGCCACCCTGCAAAGAAAACTAGAGACTCACTGAAGCCCAAGTCTGAGTATCTCCCTGGGGGGAAACTGTGTCTTTGTTGTGAAATGGCTGGGTAGGATTGATCTAACTGGCCCAAGGTTTTTATATAGATATTTAAATATTGTTGCCATCTCCAGGTTTGAATGCTAGGCTCAAGTAACTGCAAATGAATGCTTTCAAACTCTCTCCCAGACCTTTTGAGAGGCCCAAGGAAGCAAGTTATGGGATCAGATTAACAACCCCCCTCAGGCAACCCGTGTTCTGCCTGCTTCCAGCTGAGGGAGCTGGTCCTTGGAGACTCGCGAAAGGGCACCTGCCTTCCACTCCGCTGTTTTCTTCCCTTCCTGGTATTTCAGCTTCAGAGCCTTCTCCAGGTGTTGTTCTAGCAGAGGCACAGCCCGTTGCAGTTTGCTCTGGAAGGACAGGAAAATGCATTCATTTATGAGAGCCAGCACAGGGCAGCGGAAGGTTGGCCTATCAGACCAGGACTTGAGAGACCCATCTTCAAATCCCCATTCTGCCATGACGTTCACTGGGTGATTTAGGGTCAGTCTCTCTCTCATCACGGGGTTACCCTGAGCACCTCGGGGGGCGGGGGCGGGGGAAGCAAGGTGGAAAAGGCGGCAGATGACTTTCCAGCCTTCCCTCTTCACCCCCAAAGCCCAGCATTGTGCTCAGTCTGATATGCAGCTTTTCTGGTAAGTTTCGGAGAGCACCAGCAGGGCCAACAGTGTCATAGATCAAGGCAGGGCTATTTTTGGGCAGGAACGCACAGGAACGGAGTTCCGGCTGGCTCCCAAGTTGGCCACGCTCAGCAGGAACTCATTAGCATAATAGGCCACACCCAACAGCAGAAACTCATTAGGATTGGCTACATTAGGGGTGTGTGGCCTAACATGCAAAGGAGTTCCTGCTACAAAAAAAGCCCTGGGTTTGGACAACAAACAAGGTAAACAGAATAAGAAGCAAAAGGTGGGTGTGGCTGGATGACCACACTTCAGGTAACATGGGGGTGCGGCCTAATGCGCTAATGAGCTGTGCTGTTTGGGGTGTAGCCCAATATGCTAATGAGTTCCTGGAGTTGGGTGTGGCCTATTATGCTAATGAGTTCCTGCTGGGCTTTTTCTACAAAAAGAGCCCTGGATCTAGGGATGCTCCGCTTCACAGATGGCCCATCTAGGGTTGCCAGCAGAAGGGCTGAAAACACCCAGGGCCTTTCGGGGGCACAGTACGGTTGATACCCTCCAGGTGGTGGCTGGAGATCTCCTGCTGTTACCATTGATCTCCAGGCAATAGAGATCAGTTCACCTGGAGGAAAACGACCGCTTTGGAACTGCAATGTTCCCTCTAAGTTGTGGAGTTTTGTGAGCAAAAATTCTACTTTGTGAGCTACTGGCATTAAAGTTGTGAGCGAGCAATTTGGCTGCTGAATAAATTAGTTTGCTCTGGAGCCATCCTTCCTGAGCTAAGGCAAAAATGTGTAAGCTGGAGGCTAAAAAACTGTGAGCTAGCTCACACTGACTCAGCTTAGAGGGAACACTGTTTGGAAGGTGGACTTTATGGAATTATACCCCACTGAAGTCCTGCCCCTCCCCAAACTCCACCCTCCTCAGGCTCCACTCCCAGATCTCCAGGTATTTCTCAACCCGGAGCTGGCAACCCTAGGTACTAGGTAATGCCCCCATGGCACTCCCCACCGTTTCTCCAGCTGCTGCACCAGTCAGCAGTGAGCAGTGGGCCTCCACTATTTTGTCCATTGCAGTTCAATTCAGCACCATTTTTAGGCTCACAATAGATTTATTGATTTACTTCATTTATACTCTCCTTTTCTCCTCAAGAGGAACTCATAGCCTAAAATGTTCTCCTTGTTGGAAGTTCCAGGTGCAATGTCAGATCTCCAGACTTTGTGGCAAGAGAGACTAGATAGCTAGATAGGCACACTGACCTTTCTTCCAGTGTTTACTCCTCTACCACTATCCCCTTTGATATATAGACTGTCTTCTCAGGGACAATTTCCTTCTTTCCATTCACTCTCTCTGATGATGACGAACTCTCTCCCTGCATGCACCAAGAGGGACAACATGCTGCCCTCTCTTGGAACCATGAGACAGATGGCTCTCTTGACACCTGCTTCCATTCTTGGCTAGTTAGTACTCTATCCTGCTCTACTATTTCCTATCAAAAGTGTACTTCTCAAATAAAGAGGGAAGTAGTTCTTTGTTAAACTTGCAACATGGCTCTGTGTAGCTTTGTAAGCTGGGTAACCTGGTAAAGTAATGCTGCTGTGTTTGTAGCTTTATTTAAGCACTCTGCTAACTAGTAGTAACTGGACTAACCACACCAGTTAACCCCCAAAGGCTATGGGCCCAGCATGCTTCTGAATCAAAGCCTCAGGTGGTTGCAATTCATCTTGAAGACACACTGGAACGATTTTGGGCTCTAAGAACACTTTTGTAGAAGTATGCCTCACTGAATAAAATGGGCCTTCTTTCTGAGTAAACATGCTCAGCATTGCTTCCTGGACCATGGATCTCCCACACTCACAACTGTTTTGATCCTAAATTTCTGCAGAAGTATTTTATCCTATTCATTTCTATTGAATATTGCATCGGTCTGCTCAAAAGCAGCTTGCAATGGCAAATAAAGCATGAATGGAGGGTCTCCAGCTTCTACCGGTATGTGTTCTGAACTGAAGTTCCCGTAGGGTTGCCAGTTCCGGGTTGGGAAATACATGGAGATTTTTGGAGTGGCGCCTGAGGAGGGCAGAGTTTGGGGAGGGAAGGGACTTCAATAGGGGTATAATGCCATAATGCCCACCTTCCAAAGGAAGCCTCGGGTTCGCCACGGGAGCTCTACGCTTCCCAGATGTGGTGCTGTGATCGCGCCCGGAAAATCCGCCTATCTTCCGTCTCTGTAGCGTGGCTAATGCTCCCTGTGGCCGCAGCCATAGTACTCGTATGCAGGTCATCCCACATGTGAGACTTCAGAGAGACCACAAAGAAAACAACTTGCTTACCTGTAACTGATAAACTTTTAATTGTCATTGTGCAAGCACACAACCTGTCTCTGTCTTTTGAAGAAGAGAAGAAGAGATTGGGTTTATACCCCGCCCTTCACTTGGAGTCTCAGAGCGGCTTACAAACTCCTTTCCCTTCCCCTCCCCACAACAGACACCCTGTGAGGTGGGTGGGGCTGAGAGAACTCTGATACAAACTGCTCTTTTTCAAGGACAGCTG